GCATGATTCATGAGACAGAGTGCTAATGAATTCCAATCACTTTCCAAACCCCAACAAGAACAGTTACTCGACAGCTGGGCTGCAAAGAAATAGGCAGGGCCTGTTGAAACAAGTTCAAAGAAGATGCCTGTATAATTTATAGAACACAGAAAGGTTGCATTGTACTATTCTTGTAAAACTGAGATTTCTTTCCCTAGTTGTTTTTCTTTTAATTGCATTAAAAAAGATAAAGTATGAAGAACAGGTACCTGTAGGAATAACCCACATCTTCAAACAATTGACAAGAATTATCATTTCTCTTTTTAGAAGGCACCCCTAGTCTTTAGCAATTCACTGCTAGTTGTGGGTCTCAAACCTTCTGGTAGGAGAGATTATTGAGACACTCATCACTCAATGCCAGCTGGCTATACTCCCTTGTTGCTTCCCACCAAGCCTGACCAGCTGGATCTGGGAATTTGATAACACCAAAAGAACATAACTCTCTAGGCAGAGGTATGATATAATAGGCTGCCGTGCCTATTTTCCCTTGCCTTTATCTTTTTGAACACAGGTACTAGACACTACCAGAAGACCTTGAGCTGAGTCAACTAACCAGAAAGAGGTCACCAGTATGTCTTCTCGTCACCTTCCAAGAAGTCTGATGATATAGTGCCAGCCTTACAGAATAATGATCTTACCTTCAACAACTTTTGTCAATCGTGTGCTAGAAGATGGTTTTATTTGCACAGAATGCATGCTCTTGGTAAGGCACCCACAGCTCTTTTAATCAACAGGTCTGGAGAATGATGAATTTGCTGTAGCTTAAGCAAAGTAGTAATACATTTTGATAAGCATGAAGTTGGAAAGAATGAGTACAGGGGATCAATTCTATTACATCTGTGACAAGTTAATTTGACCAAATTTGGTTCTATATAGATATGACAGCTCCACAATACCAGGAGCCATTGCTGTTCCTTAAAGACACTCATCACAGTCAGGTGATCTCTGATGCTCACCCCTTCCTGTTGCACCATCTGAGCGCAAGATTATTTTAGTAAGCTGTGTTTTCAGGGTTTTATTTCCTGACAGCTGTCACAATTCTCTGCTGGTTCAATGTCAGTACAAGCCAAGGTATTGATGAGGATATTTCAGTCACGTGGGATCTCATTGCTCTTGTAAACATCTACTCAAACTCTCTGTGTACCTCTAGCTGTTGACTCTGGAGATAAGAGTATCTAGATCCACCTGCAGCCATTTAGTTTATAACATGCCCTTTGGCATTAGGCCCTTTTCACTACACCTTACATGTTTCTAGGCCGCCCAAAAAATTAGCTCAGTTTTCATTTTCCCATTTTATGAAAGCAACTGTGTTTAAATAGCATCATATATCTACAATAGAAAACCAATAGAACAATAAAATAAATATATAGGAAACATCTGTATGAGGGAAATATGTATACAACACAAAAGGTTTGTATCAAAAAAAAGGAAGGATAGCATGAAGGGATGTTATGGTAATAGGGTTACACACAGAAAGTGTTGTTTGAAACTCGGACCGACAGCCAATCATCTGATTAAAGAGACACTGGCAAGCACAGTAGCTGAGTGCCTGTAACCATTGAAAATAATGCAGGAAAAGGAGTGAGTTTGGAGGACAGCTCAGCTGGACCAGAGATACATATATGCTCACAGGATGCAGTAAAGCTGAGGCACTTTTCCACTAGAAGTGATTCACACCAAAGCATGTCTAGGTGTCCCCAACCCCAAAAGGACAGAAACGGTCTCAGCTCCAAGAAATATGCCCATAGAGAAACTGTTCTCTTGGTGTGCAGCCTCACTTTCTGGACACTTCCAGGATCTAGAACCAACATAATTTTTGCCCGGACATAGATATTTTTCTCCCCAGCTGAGTCCAGCTACTTTTCTTCATTGTATTGAAAGTGTATCACCTGCAATCTGTCTTATCATTGCATCTGCTGCCATCTTCTGCAAGACTTATCATTGAGAGCTTCCTTTGGTGTGACCTCACACCCAGTAATTCTGGCATGTAAAGATCACCACCATAATGATAATAAAAGGCCAGATATTGCCCTCCTTGCATGCTGCCTAGTGGCTTATGAGGATGGCCTGCTCTCGGTCTTGTTCCTGGTGAGCACATGTTCAGTCAGACTGTGTACAATGGCAGAACAATAGCCTGGGGTTAGATGGGGCAACAAAGTCAAACTTATGTGTTCCTTGAGTAAACATCACTGGATGCACTGTAGAGAGACTTGTGGCCACAGTGCATCCATTGTGCCCTATGTGTGTGTATGAACACATGACCATCATTTATTTGCTTACATGTAAAGTGTTTGCATGTGCTACTTTCAGCTACCCAGGAAATGTGGAACTGCTCCTGCAGGGGAAGAGCTGGCCAATTCCAAGAGAGCCCCAACAAAATCCAGCTACAGGAAGCAGGGGCCCACCACCACAGATGTCACACGCTTTCTAACACATTTCCCTCCACTGGTGTTTTTGTCGTTGGTCTGCTATTTTCACCTCCTTCTGTCCTCTCCTTTGTTAAGCAGAGGACTGCTTCTTCCTTGGAAAGGACCCAAGTCACAGGAATTACTGAATGATAATTCATTGGTCTAGCTACTACAGCATGGTTTGCTTGCTTTGCTTCCCTCCTGCCCATCCTCACTCCATGCTCTCCTGCCAGCTCCTCAAAGCTGGAGCTCTCTGTTGCTCCCCCCATCTGCACAAGGGATGGAACAGGGGATTTCCCTTCCCGGTTGGTAACTAGGAACTAAGAGATAAACAGGTTGTAAAATTACATTTGTACACTGCTCAGCAAACTAGGATTTTATTTCATATTGGCCCATATACGCTTAAAACAAACACAGTTTAGCATTATCTGGAATCAAAGAGCTATAAGAAAACAATGAGGAGTTGCCAGTAATGTCAAGGCAATTAAAATTCACATACCGCTTTACATTTTCACAAACACTCTTTATGTCTTTCTTAATTAGCAAATAATCAGCTGTGTATCTAGAATAAAGTTTCTTATCTGAAAAGAGCCATTGATGACACTGTCTGATAAACTATGTGCAATGTACTGCAATAACAATTTACTGCACAGAAAAACATCTCTTTTTCGATCACACCTAGAGCATGCCAGTGATTGCTGCATAGGAAATTAGAAAAGAGTATAGGAAAGCATCAGTTCTGTGGATTTTTGAGGATTAATTTCTCAGTATTAAAGTTATTCAAAATAACACACAAAGCCATTCCAAGTCAGAGTATGGCTTCTCAGAGCATGAAGGCACACACAGACACTGCATAAAATGAAACAGAGCTTATTTGTAACTTTCCCATCAAGGGCTTGCTCAGTCACAATTAAGTACTCACACAGCATATTGTAACAACCTCTGGTCTAAAGGGATTTGAGTGGTTTTCCTATTCCCATGGTATCAAGAACAAGTAGAGGTCTTGCTGCAGTAAAACAAACTGACAGAATGACATTTCTACCTATTTAGTTGTGATTATCTTCTCTCCACTACTAGCACCCCATTACCATCATTCACCAAGCACTTGCAACCCCATGGCAAGTGCCATGCCAGGTGCTCACTACACAGTGGGCCAGTGCTGAATGAAGCTTCACTAAGATCCAGCTTTATGAAATGCCAGACTGGTCTTCTCTGCTCTACTTCTCACTTTTCTCTATTTAAATTCCACAGGTAGCATAGCACACACTGTAAGTAATAAAAGTGGCTACAACAGTAGCTTACAAAGGCCCAAATTTATAGCACATGATCACTGTACTACAGACTGCCAACAGAGAATATACTACTCAGAATGCCAAGGGTTGAGAGTATGACATGAGGAATCAGCATAATTTTGTCTGCCAGAGCCTTGCTGAAACACCCGCAATTATCCTATTGGATGGCTTTTGTATTTTCCTCTCTGTTGAAGAGGAAAAAAAAAAAGTATATATCCAAGTTCCAAGCGATTCTTAGAACTGCAGTGACCAGCTCCTATAGTTTCAGTCATCATCATACACTGCTTTTACAAACAAACAAACACAAACCCACCAAAACAGAACAAGCCAACCTCAGGTTTTCTTTGCATTTGGCAACATCTATTTGAGGCAGACACACCAAAGCAAGGAGTACATACTCAATTACCAGCACCTACTGAAATCAAAGGGTTTGGGTAAATACTCACACATTCTGTGTGAGGATTTTATGGATTCCCACTTTAATAGACACTTTAATATTGGAGGTTTTTCTTTTTCAGTCAAAAGCCGAGCAAAGAGAGAACCCATTTATGTCACTTCACTCGTATCTGTACCATAAAAATTCAACCTTCTGTACTTTAGCAAACCGCATGTTGTTGCTTTACGTTTTGCAACCATCCTGCAAATATCTTCAGAAGCATTTTCAATGATAATTTAAGAGACCTAAGGACTTTCTATTTCCCTTCAAACAAGTAAAAGATGGAAAAAGTTTGACACTAGTATAAACAACAACTAAATTTACCACGACAAAGCCTTCCCATTAGAATCTACCACTTGCAAGACGACACAGACTGTAACTCATGCTTCCTAAGTGCAAGAGCAAACCTAAACCACCTTTAATTAACCGCAGGTAATTGTCACATAACGGGACACTCCGCCACCGCCTGCCTTCAGTCAGGACGGCGGCGCTTCAAAACGCGCGATCGCAGAGAACGAAAGCATCCCTCTACCAGCGGGGAGCACAGGCGGGAGCCCGAGCGCCCGCGGGCATGGAGCGACGCGACCGAGGCGGCTGCCCGCGGAAAGCCCCACGCCGTGGGCGGCTTCTTCGGGATGTGTGCGCATACACTTACACAAGGAAAAAGTTTGCTGGTTTTCGTTGGTTCTTTTTTAAAGTTACTCTCGGGCTGGAGGCGCGCTTGGTGTCGCTCCCCCCCGCTCTCGCCCCCCGGGCCAGAGGCAGCGCCTGCCCCGCAGCCCCAGCGGGCGCTGAGCTCCGCTCCGCCGCCGCGCCCGGGCTCACCTCGACGAGCCGCTGCAGGGCGGGCCCCTGCAGGCAGGTGTGGTTGGCCAGCAGCTCCCAGCGCTCCCGGAGGAGGTTCTGGGCCGCCTGCACCTCGGCCGGCCGCTCCAGCGCCTGCATCACGGCGGCGCCCAGCCCCAGGTAGCCCACGTATGCCGCCAGCAGCCCCAGCACGCCCCAGCGCCGCCGCCGCCGCCGCGCCGCCACCATCGGCCCCGCTGCCGCCACCGCCGCCCCCGGCGCTGCAGAAGCGGCTCGGCCCAGGGCGGGAGGAGGGCAGCGCCGGCCCGGCAGGGCGCCCGGCCCCCAGCACCTCCCCCTGCCTGCCCCTTCCCCCCTCAGCGGCGAGGAGGGGAGCCCAGAGCCCTGCTGGGGAACGAAGGTGGTCGTGCCGCTCGTCTTGCGGCAGCCCACCCCACCGCCCTCGTCCTTGTCGTGCGCCGCTCCACGTCCCACCTGTCTGTCCCAAAGCGCGAGGCTGCCCAGGGCTCCCTGCTCCGCGCCCCTTGTGCCTGAGCTGGAGCCGGCTCCAAGCCACGTTCGCTCCCCCGACGGATGCTACCCAGTCCCTCTCCCGACAAACCCAAGTGCTTCTCTCTCCAGCTGGCGATACTTGGAGAGCAGTACGCTAGCAGTCTGCATAAATCTGCATTCCTCTTTCACTCAGCTGCTAAGCTCATTTAAAAGGCAGCAAACAGGTGTTTGCGATAACAATCCTTCCATAGAAACAAGTGAAAAGGTAGCAGCTTTTTAGAGTCCTTTTATGGTTTGTGGTTTTCCTGTGAAAGATGGGTGTACTTTCTTCATATAGGTATTTTCTGAGACCTATTTGATTAATTACTTTCTTGCATAAGATGGCATCCAATGTTCCTTTCTGTTCTCTCACTGGTAGATAGAACAATCAAATCGTTTTGGGTGTATAAGAACATTGTAATTTACCTATTTTGTTACATAATATGAGATAAAGGTGAATAAACCCAGTAAGTTTCTGCACGGGATGGCTTTATACACTGTCAGAGGGTCATGTCTTCTCACTCTGCCCTGTGACTATTTTTGCCAGGGGAGTGTATGTACAAGTGAGGCAGCCTCCAAAAATGTACTCCCTTCCCAGAAATGTTCTGGTAATGTGCTAATTCATGGTTTCAGAGATGTGCTTTAAACTGACTAGCATAAACACATTATTTCACTGGCAAGATGCAAAAATGAATACGCAAAGGCTAGACTAATTCCCATGTAACGATATCAGCTGGGGCACAGTCTTAGGAAAAAAAAATAATGCTGGTTATTGCTCAGTCTTAATTCTGCCTTTTCAGGATATTAATTACTCAGTGATATTTAAAGGCAAAATTGGGATTATATATATAAAAGAAAACCCTCTATTAAAGTATACATAAGTAAGAAAAAAAATGCAAGGATACTAAAAAGTATATACTTACTCATCACATTTAAGATCAGGAAATAGACTCATCTGAACTACATTTTGACATTTTCACTGTATTTAAACCCAGATAGTTTATACAAAGCACACTGAGTATAACTATGTTGAAACACTATGGATTAACATATAGAATTTAATGTTTATGCTAAAAATATATAAAACTAATTACATGTGAGACTCCGGGTTTTTAACTATATGACATGTTGTGAAAATTCAGGATATCAGGCATGTGCTTGCTAGAAGGAATTTGGGAAGAAAGAGATTAAGTTTCACAACAAATCTTTACAGAATCATATAATAGTTACATGGCTGTTTCCTTGAGTATTCTCAGAAACATGACTTGTCTGTCAGTCTTCTTTTTACATCTCCACAGAGAAAGGCTCAAATCTTTGCCAATGACACTTTGGTGTTGTCTGGAAGGACAGCATGTATATCTGAGGATGAAGAAGGGCTTGTTGAGTAGGCTAAAAGGGTAAGCCTGGAAGGACATTTGCTTCTTGTCCTGCTCTGGACTGCAGGTGGTAGCTGCTCAGGACAAAGTGCTACTTTTCCACATCACAGATGAACACTGCCTGGCCCATTGCTTCTGCCACAGCCTGCAGAGCCACATTCAGAGGCTGCAAATGTGCTGTTTTCTATGCTTGGAGCTGAGAACGTGTGCTCTCCATTCTGGGCAGAAATATAACACTGGTAATATGGGTTATTAGACCAAAAGAATCCATCTTGTGTGCTCCTCTGGCTCATAGCAAGTTCTTGTGATTGTGCAGTTCTTCCACGTTACTTTTCTTAGCTGGTCAGTTGACACTTGAGTTCTACATTTTTATTAGAGGAACTACCAGAAAGCACTTGGTCTATCCATGCTCAAAACCTTTGTCAGTACTCCCACTGTGTATCTCAAAAAGTAACTTTTATTATAGATATGCATGGCCTTTAGGAGCTTTTCAGAACCTTGAAAATTGACAAAATAAGCAAGAAATGTCTATCACCTATGTAGCACAGGAGAGGGCATCAGTATCCTTCTCATTTCTCTTCCAGCATGGCCATATGCTTGATTTAAAGGTAGCTTTCTGAGTCTTCTGTTGGGCAGCTGGAGAACTGCTGCAGCTACTGTCAGCTGTATTAAATGCAGCAGTAGTAAAATATCCAGGAGGTAGTCTCACCATTTGCTGCTACTTTGCAAAATCAGTATCAGATACAGGAGCAATTTTCTGGACTGCACTAAACACAATCCAAGCTTTCTGCGGTCAGATGTCAAGTAAGGATAACTTTAAGAAACACTTTGTCAGTAAGTGCTTTCTATTGCTGATAAACCTCTTTATCATTTTTTATAGCATGCAGCATGGTGTAAAACAGTGGAGAGGATCACCTTTAGACTAGTGCATGTGTGGTGGCTGACTGTGGCTTGATAAGGTACAGAAGGCATGGAAAAAGGCAAGGTAAAGAAAACAGGTTAGATATAGAAGTCAGCAGAACTTCAGTTTTGTCTTTTACATAAAGAGGCCGAAAGTGTCATGGTGTTAACACAAGGCAGGTACAGAGTACATTGATGGTGATGTTAAAAGTGCAAGTGCAAACATTGTGTCCAAAGAACAGAAAATACTGAGAGACAAAGTTTCCCGTGAGATTTGCAAAGATACAAAAAGCCAGACAGAAGAGAGTTGGCTGCTCCCAGTGAAAGTCTACAGAGAAAGCCATTGCATAAATTTATGGGAATAGCTGAGGGCATGGAGGAAGATCAGTGCAAAAACCGAGGAGATAAAAATCTGTGAGGTAGGTAGTGGTAAGACATGAGGGAAATCTTGGATGGGATAAGCATTTGAACATTCATTTTTTAAATTAGTTGAATAAACCATCACCAGTATTCTTATATGCCAGCATTTCAGATTTGAGTAGCCACACTGCACTATGCAGGAGTCAGCAACTGGCAAAGTTGCACCTTGTCAGGTGTAAGAACAAACATCTGTTGTGACCCTCCTCAGAAGTAAAAATCTAGCTCAGAAAGTATGAAGGAAAAAATTAGTGACCTACACAAGCCTTTACATGTTTTATAGATATATCTCCAAAATGAAATATCAAAGCAGCTGCCGAAAGGCTGACATTTGATGTTTCCATAGTCTGTCAGACATATGCTAGCTTGGGGCTAGTCTGTGTACCCAGCCATGTTTAACTGATCCTTTACATTAAAGTTCCACGTACAAATGAGTTCAAAAGGATTAACTGATGGTTACTATGAGATATAAACATACTGAATAAATAGCAGTGAGTATATAATTACAAGCAGACCCATGGAACATGTTAGTGATGATTGAGCATGGTACCCAAATGAGTGGATAATTGTTTTATCAAGTTTCTGGAGTCTAATAGAGAGTATGATTACAGATCTGCATCTCAGTGGCTAGTCCCTTATTAGGTGCTTATATGTACTTTGGTTTTTCACCTTCTTTGAAGGTGGCTGTTGTTTCTTTTGACTTACAATAACTGGGATAAATTCAATCTCCCTGTTTTTGATGGGTCACACAATGGGCCTGACTGAGGATCAGATTTAATGCAAGAACCTATCATTTGCCTTATTTAGAGGTAAACATACAGCACCAGTTCTCTATGGTGCATAATAGCTCTTCTATGACCTGGCCCAAAACAAATTCTGGACTCTACTGACATATGTTATCTGGCTGGAAATAAGGATGCCTCTTTGCTTTTAGATTTAGTTTAAAGTGCTGTTTTCAAGTGGTGGTGAAATGAACTGTGATAAGGACCTGCTTTGAGCTGTCAGTTCACTCTGAGACAAGTTGTAACAGTCCAGGCAGAGCTGGACAGACACATAATTTCCTCACAATTAAAAGAGAAGCATTTTAGGCCAGAAAATAAAAATGTTGTCATTTTATATGAAAGATGTTCATTTCAGACAATATCAACTGAATCTTAATTGAGTGGATATCAATAAGCAAATGTTCATAACTGATTATATTCCTCTGTGGTTTTGTTTGTTTTCTGATGGGAAATGAAGAAAGATTTCTGTGCCTGACTTTTTCCACTTGAAAAAGCTAGGCGCAGAAATCTTTGGTGAAATAACTTCTTATGGAAGCTGGGAGGAAGTCACTCTGGATTTTTTTTGAAAATGAGTGACCATAAGAACTGAATTCCACTAGAGAAAGAGAAAGGATAATTGATTACTTCAGAGGAAGTTGCCTTAGAATGAGAAGTGTAAAATGAATCCTGGGGCAGTTGTGTAACCACGTATGCTTCTTCCTTGAGGTTTTAACTGGCTGATGCCTGCCTACACAGGGTGTGGAAATTTCCACGTATCTGAAACATTTCCTCTTTAGGAAACAATCCACAACCTGTGGTTTAGTCCTTTATCCACAGAGGTTGCTTAGTGTGAGATACAGATGGAAGATGCAGTTTCAATACTGCTTTCTTTGTACCTTACTCAGCTAGGGATGTGGATTCTAGGCTGCTCAGGTTCATCTTCCAATTTGGTGGTGTCTCCTTCTGCCAAGCTTAAGTCAGACTTGTGCCACTTTAGCTGAAGGTATCTTTCCATCAAGTCAGCTCCCACGTTGAAGACCAGAGCCAGCCAGGCCAAGCCAAAAACAATCCATATCGCAGTTAGGCTCCTGTACACAGGGATATAGTGCTTGTTGGGGTTTGTACCTGAAAAATCCAGGAAAATTTGTATCTTTATCTTGGCAGCTTTGTTCTGCTAAACATACATACTCATACACCCTCTCCACTCTTTGCAAAAGTGTATATGTCAATGAGCTTGTGTGAC